TCCAAAATGGCAGCTATGGGGCAAAGTGAGCCAAATGCTGTGGGGTAAATTGAACCAGCATTTTATCTTACCCTACCATGAGGCACTGAAGTTAAGTTAAATCTCTGAAGTATAAACTGGTAGTTTAATGTGATAGTACACAACTGATTTAGTTTATCATATATACATATTATTATTTGTAGTTTATTTGATAGGGACAGTGTACAAGTGCACCAAATCCATATCTGATAAGAACCAGAAGATGCTTTTCATCACATTATAATCAGATATATCTTTCCACCTGTAGTCCCTAATGGCCTGTTCGACATTGCAGAAAAGCTACCATGCCAAGAATATTTTGACTAGATTGTTCATTAGTTTCAGTGACATTTATTCCTTCATTCTAATTCATTTTTTTATCTTAATTTTACTCCGCAAACTCTCTGTTTAGTCTGTGTTTGGGAAGATTACAACTTTGGTGTTAAACATATTGTTTCAGAAATGCAAACAATTAAAGATTGAAATTTTCATTTGGTTGGTTTTATGTTGTTTACATTAGCTTTAAGAAAAGCAATAAGACTGTTTGAAAAAGGAAATTTGATTATTAAATTAGTTTATAAAAGAGGTCAATTATCTTTCACATTTAACATGGGTTTGAACCAGATTCAGTCAGATGGTCAGTTTACAACCAGATGGTTCATCTTACTCATTGACTCGGGTCAACTTACCCCCACCCTGGGGCAAACTGAGCCCCAGGAACACTCTTTTATAAGAAGCCATATTTTTAGAACCCTTTGTCATAGATACAATCTGATCATTTAAAATGATAGGAAACATCCTGAATTTACTTTAGATACTTTGAGGACCATATAAGTAAAAAGTGGCTCATCTTACCCCACTCTCCCCTACTCACTGAATAACCCATCGCTACATAAAACAGCAGTCACAACTTATTTTACATCAATAATGACACTTATTTTGGAGAGAAAATTAATATGAGACTTAACGTTATTAATCAGGATCTGGCTGAAAATCGATCCTTATATGAAGCAGTCTATAACGTGCACTGATGAATTACACATAAAGATCAGGAACATGTATTAACAAAGGGTCTATTTTGAATTCATGTTGACTCTAAGTTGGTAATTATTGTTTATTGCACAACACTATGTAGATTGTAGCCTATTGTATTGTATGCAGTGTTGTGTATGCATTATGCATACTGTACTAATGTACATGGTACATTGATTGTTTGCAATATCATGAATTACTGTGAAGTCAAATGCCTTGTAAGTGTAACTTCCTTAGCCAATAAACGTGAATTGTGATTGTGAAGCTCCGGCCTCCCCTGGTGAATGATACACACCTCAGTATCCTGCGAGGAGCTTCAGACGCGGCGAGAGAAACGCTCAGCGCTCAGGAGAACCGAAGAGACAACGAGCTGCCTCGCACACTCTCTGAGGGGCTGAGGGACACGACCTGGCCGTCCCTGCGAACGTTTGGCCATTTTTGTCTCATGCTCTTGAAACGAGCTCGATAACGCTGGAACGAGCGAGCTTTGGGTTTAGGAAGGAAACATACTGTAAATCTGGCTGCCTGAGGCGCGTCCGGATGAACTGATAACCATCAGCTTGGCTTTAACACACAGGCTCCGAGCAACGTAATCTAGTTAAGTTGCATATGTTCTGCAACTGAGCAGACAGAGGTGGAGAAAAACCTTCCAGGTGTTGAGAAAGCATCTAGTCTGTGTACCCATCAGTTGCTGCGCAAATCGCTGGACGGAAGGATTCGCTCATCTGTGTTTGGACTGTTCGTCTGTGATGAGACTGACGGAAATCATCCACAACTTTGAGCTGGGGTTTGTGAAACTCAAATGAACAGATGAGAGAAGACCGAGCTGATGGACAGCGCCTGTGGAGAGTTTCCTGCATCTCTGCTTTCAGTGCCAACGAGCAAACATGTATCCTTACACCGTTTCCCTTTAAACTTCGCTTCGGTCTGAAATGCTTCGCAGGTAATGAGAAGAGAGGAACAATCCATGTACGGTGAAAATCGGTAAGATTCTTGTCTTCTCTTCTTATTCTTCATATTTTAATTAGACCGGGGCTATCCTCACAATTTGAGCTGACTATTTCTTAGGGTACTGTAGGTTGAGTTTTGAAAGGCAATATATGTTGACGATAACACTTTAGTACAGGGACCAATTCTCACTATTAAGCAGTGTTGGGGGTAATATATTACAAGTAACGCAAGTTACGTAATCAGATTACTTTTTAGTAGTTGCTTATAGCATGCCTATTATTAACATATTGGTTATTATTACATATTAATATTAACATATTAACTATTCTACATCCCTGATCCTACCCAATACTAACAACTACCTCACTAACTATTAATAAACCGCAAATTAGGAGCTTATTGAAGCAAAAGTCATAGGTAATGGTTTGTTAATAGCGAGAACTGGACCTTAAAATAAAGTGTCACCATGTTGACTACAAAAAAGGGTAACACTTTATTTTAAAGTGTCATTGTTACATGTTATATGTAGCCTACTATTAAAATTATATTACTGTTAGTTACTGTTAATATACGGTTACTATTAAAATAATAATAAATTATGCATAATTAGCCTACATGCAAGTAACCCTAATCCTAACCCTAACCATATAGTAAAGTACATGTAGTTAAATAATTAATATTACTCAGTACTTAAATGTATAATTAACAAGGGCACCTTAAAATAAAGTGTAACCCAAAAAAGCTGTTTCACCGTTACTGGCCAGGATACAGTATATATATTTTTACAGCTATAACAATGGAATCTGCTGTCCATTAACTCTTTAACTTTTTTTTCTCTTAAGTACAAAAGCTGTCTTCCACAAAATCGTAATGGTGCTACAGCAAAATGTAAACAATGAAGTAATTATGGAGCAAAGGCAATTAATAAAACAGCCAATGAGGAAAAAAGCCAACAAAATCGAAAGCTGTAACACTTTATTTTACAGTGTCCTCTGTTGCACATACTTACTAAAGTAACAACTGTAAATTATGCATAATTACAAGTAACTAATCTCAAACCTGACCCTAAACCTATAATAAGTACAGTTTGTAAGGTAATATTATGCACTGCTTATTTGTACATCAGCGACATCTTAAAATGAAGTGTAACCAATAAAGATACTGTGTAGGCAAAATTCGAATTATTAAACAAAATAATATTACTATAAAACATGTGAAAACTGACATATCAGCCTTTCAGTTACAATGTACATTGTAATGATGACCTTTGTTGAAATGTAGTGAAATGTTGATGAAATGTACTGAAATGTAGTGTTTTGTGTTCACTTGTTTAATCACCAGCTATTAACGATTTATGAATTATACTTAAAAAAAAAATGCTGCAGTAGTTACTGAGATAAAGCCTATGTGACAACTTATTCATGTGACAACCGGCTTTGGTCTTTTTATGCTTTTGTTTTTACTTATAACATCTTTATCCAGTGAAAAGGTCATGACATGTCTAATATACACTGCTAAAATATCAGACAGTCAAGTATGCGTTACTTCTGTCTCTGCAGGATAAAATGTCTGCTCTTCGTAAGAAATTTGGAAGCGACTATCAGGTAGTGACCACCACATCTTCCAGCCATCATCAGAAAGACAAGAGGAGGAAACGACAGCGATTTGTCGACAAGAACGGACGATGCAACGTCCAGCATGGAAACCTGGGTGGGGAGACCAGCAGATATCTCTCAGACTTATTCACAACTCTAGTAGACCTCAAATGGCGATGGAACCTCTTCATCTTCATCCTCACATACACAGTAGCCTGGTTATTCATGGCTTCGATGTGGTGGGTCATCGCATACATCAGAGGCGACCTGTACCGAACCCATGATGAGAAGTACACACCATGCGTGGCCAACGTCTATAACTTTCCCTCTGCTTTCCTGTTCTTCATTGAGACAGAGGCCACTATAGGATATGGCCACAGATACATCACTGAAAAATGTCCAGAAGGAATCATTCTCTTCCTGTTTCAGTCCATCTTGGGCTCCATAGTGGATGCATTTTTAATAGGCTGTATGTTTATTAAGATGTCTCAACCCAAGAAGAGGGCGGAGACTTTGATGTTTAGTGAAAACGCAGCCATCTCCATGCGCGACGGCAAACTCACGCTGATGTTCAGGGTGGGAAATCTGCGCAACAGCCACATGGTTTCAGCCCAGATCCGGTGTAAATTGCTCAAGGTAAGGGTCTGCCTTTTGTCCAGTTATAGAGTTTATGGGTTACACTACATTTTTCAAGTGTCCTTGTTACAGTGTAATTATAAGTACTGAGTAATATCAATTAACTACATGCACTTGTATGGTTAGGATGGTGGTTTGGTTTATGTGTGCTAATAGGTCTAACATGGATAATATAACAAATCGTGTGTTTTCAATACTTATTTACATTAGTATTGTTGAAAAATTATTAAAGGGATAGTCCACCCCAAAATGAAAATTCTGTTATCATTTAACCACCCTCATGATGTTCAAAACCTGTCAAGTCAATTTATTTATTTAGCGCCTTATACAATACAGAATGTTTCAAAGCAACTTCACAGTAATAATAATGTTATTATAAATTGAATACAGTTCAGCTGTAAAGCAACTAAAAAAGACAATAGTGTCATTATTCAGCTTAATTTAGGTCCTGTAACGTGCAACTTGTGTGACTTTCTTCTGTGGAACATAACAAACGATATTTTGAAGAACATTTTCGGTACCTATTGTCTCCCATTGTATTTTCTTGTCTATACTATGGATGTCAATAGGAACCAAAACTGTTTGGTTACTAACATTCTTGAAAATATATTTTATTATGCTCCATAAAGGGAAAAATGTCATACAGGTTTGGAGCAACATGAGTGTGAGTAAATTATGATATATTTTAATTTTGGGGGGGGCATATGTTTCAAAACATTTATACCTACTGTTGCTTTCTACAGCTGCTAAACTTTATTAATATTATTACTGTTGTAGCTAGGCCTATATTATTTACATGAAATACGTGTAACATGGGCACTGTAATGGAAAGTGTTACCCTGCCCTCTGTTGTTCATTAACAGACTCAGCCAGTGCTTGGTTGTCAATCATGACATTCTCTCATTTAATTAAAAAATGTTAAAGATGTTAGAACAGCATAAGAGACTGTTGAAAATAGGTTTGCAATCCATATGGCTGCCATGTTTCAGTGTAGGCCTATATTTTAGCATGCTGGCCAGAAATGCTTGCAGAGATTCTTGCTTCATAGTGTCTTGGTAAATTGTGATCGGTATAAAAAAATTGCATTGATTTCTTTATTGTATACTTTGAGCTTTAATTTGATGTCCTACCTGTCTGTCTTTTGATGCCTGACTGTTTATACTCACAGCTCAATTCACCGTACAGTGTCTAAAGCTATTTTTACGCCCCATCTCCCCTCTTTTCACTCCTGCAGTCCCGACAGACGCCCGAGGGTGAGTTCCTCCCCCTGGATCAGCTGGAGCTGGATGTGGGCTTTAGCACCGGAGCGGACCAACTCTTTCTCGTGTCACCACTCACAATCTGTCATGTGATCGACACCAAGAGCCCCTTCTATGAGCTCTCACAGCGATCCATGCAGACAGAGCAGTTCGAAATAGTCGTGATTTTGGAGGGTATTGTTGAAACGACCGGTAAGTTATTCTGTCTGCTATTTTTAACCATGCATTGTCTTAAGCCTGGATTGCAGAATTGGTTACACTTTATTTTAGGGTCTCTTAACTAGTTGCTTATTAGCATGCATATTACTAGAATATTAGCCATTTATTAGTACTAATTAAGCACATATTAATGCCTTATTCTACATGACCTTATTCTACATCCCTAATCCTACCCAATGCCTAAATTTAACAACTACCTTACTAATTATTAATAACCAGCAAATTAGGAATGTATTGAGGTAAAAGTCGTAGATAATAGTGAATAAGTGTTCCCTATTCTAAAGTGTTACTAAAGTATTATTTTGATGTTGGAAAGTTAGAGGAATGGTTTTAGTTTTAGAATTTTCTGACGATTTACTCACTCTCAGGTCATCCAAGATGTAGATGAGTTTGTTTCTTCACCGGAACAGATTTGGAGAAATTGAGCATTACATCACACCAATGGATCCTCTGCAGTGAATGGCTGATAAAAAATAAAAAAAACATCACAATAATCCAGAAGTAATCCACACCACTTCAGTACAGTTAACATCTTGTGAAGCGGAAAGCTGCAGGTTTGTAATAAACAAATATGTATTAAACTTCAAACCTTTTTAACTTCAAATTTAAATTGAAACTGAATCAGGAGAGAAAAATGCAAAGACCAAGAACAAAAATCATAAAATAACCAGTGGATTTTAATGTGAGAAGACAACAGGAGATGGACTTCACATTATTCTGAATTAAGGACTGATATTTTGGCCAGAAGAGACTCGCTATTAACTATGACTTTTGCCTCAATGAACTCCTAATTTGCTGTTTATTAATAGTTAGTAATGTAGTTGTCAAGTTTAGGTACACTATGGGTAGGATTAAGGGATTTTATATATGGTTATGCAGAATAAGGCATTAACATGTGCTTTATAAATAATAATAAACAGCCAATATGCTAGATTATATCAGCTGTTTGGACTCTCATTCTGATGGCAACCAGAGCATCCATTTGTAACGGGGCAGACGAGACGTGAGGCGTGAGGATCCATGGGCAAGCTTTATTTATAAACACGGTCAGAACACAGGCAGGGTCAAACAATGGAAAACAGGTATGGAACGGGCAAGACACAAGAATCATCCAAGAGCAGACGAGGGTCTCCGATCAGCAAACGACATCCAGAGGGCTAGACAGAGAGAGATAATCCAGGTACACGGTAATAGTCCAGGCAGGGGCAAACAGAGTCCAAACGACAAGACGAGAGAGAGATCCAAGGCAAGCTATAAACTTCAGGGCAGGTAGAGATCAGACAAGAGGAGAAAACAGGCTAAGATCAAAACACGGGTAAACAGACTATGAACAAGACTAAACTAAACTTTAACTCAGAAAACATGGAATGGGATTCACAGATGGCCTCCATAGCCGTGACAGGACAGGACAAGGATTCGCAGACGGCCTCCATAGCCGTGACAGGACAGGCAAAGAGTTCACAGACGGCCTCCATTACTCGGCGACTAGAGCAGGATCTGGGTAGGTGTTATATAGTGTGTGTAATGGCTTTCAGGTGCGCGTGTGATTGGTTACAGCTGTGTGCAATCAGTGCAATGGATGATGGGAAATGTAGTCCAGGGCATAGTGTAACAGTCTGTGTAGTGTGAGAGTCCATGTAGTGAGCGGGTGACCTCTGGTGGTGAGTGAACGGAAGTTCATAGACCGGATTCGTGACACCATTGTTGACCAAGTACTACATTTCTCAAAATCTGTTCTGATGAAGAAACAAACTCATCTATATCTTGGATGGTGTAGCAAATTAGATCAAAAGGGAAATGTATATAAATAATTACAATTAGTTATAATTAATTACAATTATTTATATCAGCTGGCAGTAGTAACTGTAGCAGAATTAATTGCCATTAACTAATCTGTTCGTCCAGCGAACATTCAGTGTAAGTTCATATCAACTCTAAGAAAGGATATTTTCGTGGCCACGGAAAATAACTTTCTTACAGTACTAATGCATTAGAGCATGTAGCTATAGATCGGATCGGATATTAAACACTAACACATAACTAATCTAAACAAACAAACATACAATCACTCATACTAGAGCTGCACGATTCTGGATACATTGAGAATCACGATTTTTTTTTTTTTTAGAATCGTAAAGGGACATTATTCACTAGCAGGACCAGAAACTCATGTAATTTGTGCACAAAAGTTTTATTAACTAAACGCTAACACACATAACTAATCTAAACAAAAAAACATACAATCACTCATACTAGAGCTGCACGATTCTGGATACATTGAGAATCACGATTTTTTTTTTTTTTTACTACAGTTACTCAAATAGAGATCATGATTCTCCCACGATTCTGAACTAAACAAAATAATGTGTAACAAAATATCATTGCTGCAGTCTATTTAAAAGTGTTTAATTAATTTGAATGAATGAATGAATGATGCATTTATGTAGTGCTTTATTGTGTATTTATTGTGTATTGCCTAACTGCACGCGCAGTGAGAAGATTTGTGCGTGCGCTCATCCGAAGCGCGCAAACCCGCGCCTCAGAACTCGTGCAGATATTAAGCTCTCTCTGAAGTATTGTGTTTAAATGGACAAATTCACACAAAAATTATGTCAAAATGCCCATCTTGGTAAGTATCCTATAGCAGACATAGCTTGCTGAACGTACTGGATCAGTGCACTGGATCAGTGCATTCTCTTAAAGTGACAGCACTTTCTTAATATTAATCAAACAAATTAATCTTTAATTTATACAGTCAAATATGCAATGCTGTTTTATATTTCCTTACTTTATTCAATTTCTGTACCTAAAAATCTAATGTTAGACCTACCTAAAAAAAAAAACAGAAAATCACTGTTTGTATCTTTACTCTATCGTATTTATTTGTGCTGTTGCTTGTAGTTAGATAGATGATTCTTATTTTCTTTATTCTTATTTGACAGTATAGTTTTTGCCTAAACATAGCACATACCGAAACCGTGACTCTAAAACCGTGATACAAACCGAACCGTGAGTAAGTTGAACCGCTGACTAACACCAACACTAGCACTAACACCTCTTCCAACAGCAACCTAGTTTTCCCAGGAGGACTCCCATCCAAGTACTGACCAGGCTGAACGAATTATTAAACATTTTAATACACACTACCAGTCAAAAGTTTTTCAACAGTAAGATTTTTAATGTTTTCTACTCAACTGTTTTCAGCATAATAATAATAATAATAAAAAATGTTTTTTTTTTTAACAGCAAATCAGAATATCAGAATGATTTCTGAAGGATCATGTGACACTGACGACTGGAGTAATGATGCTGACAATTTTGCTTTAAAATCACAGGAATAAATTACATTTTGAAATATATTCAAATAGAAAGCAGTTATTTTAAATTGTAAAAATATTTCAAAATTTCACTGTTTTTGCTGTACGTTGGATCAAATAAATGCAGGCTTGGTGAGCAGAAGAGACTTCTTTAAAAAACATAAAACATCTTACGGTTCAAAAACTTTTGACTGGTAGTGTACATATGATATATTTAATACACAAATTTTTAATATTAAAATTATGAAAAAAGTAGTTTGAATTAATGATTCAACGACTCACTCATACTATTTCTATACTATACTACTATACTACTAAAAAACAGTGTTATCAGCATTGGTTGCCATGGAACCAGAGGCCTGTTCTGCCTTTTTGAGGCGTTAGCCGCATTTTGGGGGAAGGGTCCATAGACCCTCATAGTAGGCTTGCTGACTGAGGTGTGTTACGGAGTATTTTTTAAATATAACAAAAAAATGTGTCTGATTGGTCCAGACTCTACAATGGACTGAGGTTGAGTTAATTTTCAGCAAGCTTTCATTTTTGGGTGAAATATTCCTTTAAGAAATATTAAGAAAAGAGACATTGTACTATTTATTCATTTAGAAAGACTACCACATCCTGTTAAGGCGACTTACTAAAACAGAAGTCATTGGGTATCTCACTGGCCTTGAAGTGCACATAATTGATTGTGTAATATTGATCAGCAATGACGTGTAATTGTAAACATGCTGTTTGGGGAGGTTGGTAAAACCAGTATGTTGTCAGTGTATATCCCATAGGATAAAAAGCAACATTTTAAAAATCTTATAATCTTTTTTTATAAAGCTCTTTTTAACACAGAGCTCTTTTTATAATAATATTCTATTTATTATGGATACGTTTCATTTTAGAATATGATCAAGCATAAAATAGTCTTGTTGGATGTTTGGCGGTGGAAATATCACTACGGTTGGCCAGCACTATGAGGTTTTCGTCTAACAATGTATATCAGTGCTATTCATTGCCATTTTGTCAACAACACAGGAAGTCTAACTACTCTTTTCCAATTTATTTCAATATCTTCCTTCAAGACTTGTTGGTAATTTGGCTATAGATATATTAAACAGTGGGCATAATCACATAACAAAAATCTTCATCCTACTGTACAAAGAGAGTATATAAAGGCAGTTAGAATGGCCTTTAACCCAATTTCTGGTTCAACAAAACAGACAGTCCCATCCCAAACTCACAAGTTCCATCATTACCAACAGTTTACCCATTTGACGTTTCCAGAAAACATAACATTGCAAACAGCATTGCAAAGTTGCATGGATGGAACTACAACTCTGCCTCTGTTTTTAGAAGCATAGTTTCTGGTAGACAAATACAGTACACATAGATTAATACAAAAAAAGCAATATAGAGAAAGTAGTAACTGGTAATTAGAAATAGAAGCCAAGAGGAAATTCCAAGTCTGGACTTGTAAATATTGTTCAACCTGCTATGAAATAAGAAGTCACCGAAGTCCATCACTTTCTTTCCAGCATTTCTGCTGGAGACTCATGTGGCATGAGCACAATAAAACGTTAATAACTGATGAAAAGTGTAAGTACAGAATCCCAAGACTCTCCAGCTTTCTGGTGGCTGTAACACTGTTTCTATGGCAACCCACTTTGA